GTCCAGGGTGTACCCCGCCCCTCGCACAGTGATTGCTGGACATGGGCACCAGCGACCCCCGTGACCCAAAATGGAATAAACGGGTAAAGATAATGGATGGATGGATGGATATATATTATATATATATATAACACACACACACACACATTTGTACAACCCTGGGTTTGGAAACTGAGGAATAATCTGAACATTACTTATTTTTACCACTTGCTCACCTGAATGTGCCAATAAACATTTTTAATATGTCAGTTTTATAAAAAGAAGTCCTTATATCTCTTAAAACAAATTTATAACTGCAGAGGGGGGACATGCTGAAACTTTGTAATAAGTTAAACTAATCATTTCATGTTTTTGTGAGTGATTCCCATGATTGTGATGAGTAGAAACATTCTCTCTCCGTGGGACTCTCATTACCTGAACTCCCCTAAAGACGACCTGAACCCTGAGATCATCAAAAGTTGCTCATGTGATCGGATTTCATGGTGCAACTAATCAATCAAGGTCTGAAGCACACCGCCCCAATGTGTTACAAAGCCCAAATAGATTTACAAATAACGTGTGTGTGTGTGTGTGTGTGTGTGTGTGTGTGTGTGTGTGTAGAGAGAGAGGGATAAGCTTCTGCATAGGATTACATATTGATTTTAAACATATAAAAAAGCTTATCATATCAAACTGTATCAGGAAAACTCAGAGACCCGGTTTTGCATAAATCCCTTTTAGACAGCGAGAGGGCATCCACTTTAAACTCTCACCCCCCCCCCCCACCCCCCCACCCCCATACACACACAGGTTCTCAAAGCCATAACAACTTTGTGTGGGTGTGTGCAAACATAGGTGTGAATCATTAAGCAGATAAAGAGGGCACAGAGGATCAATTTATTGGCAGCAGATGAGAGTGTGGCATACAGATGGCATTTTCCTGGCATCACACCAAGACGATACAAGGAGGTGGTTATCACTGAGCATGCTCATGAACACCGTCAACACCAGCCTGACAGACTCCGCCAACCCTGATGTGGTTTAACTTATTCGAGCTCCAAATGTCAAGAGTTTTAAACTGGAACTCACATTGGCTTTTATGTTTTAACGGTGAAAATTGATCCAGGTTGAGTCTGACTTTTCAGCTCTTACAGCGACATCTGGTCTGCGTTATCAATCAAGACGATCAGACTTTGATATAACTTTTAGAAAGTAATCACTGGATGTTCATTTACAATGTATTTATTTTTGGAGTTAGTCCAATTCATGATGGCCACCTAAGTGAATCAATCATCACAAAAATGACTACAATTTAGTCGATTTTACAGATATTGAGCTAACAATTGATGTGGTAGTAGCTCAGACTGATCCCCAACACATATTTAGAGCACCAACAGATATAGAAGGAAATATTTATCTAATGGTTTGGTATAGGAAAAATGCTGGTTTATGTATTTATTTAATTTTCTCCATAAATTCTGTTGTTCTTTATTCACAAACACAAAACAAAGTCACAAAAACAAAAGCTGTTTCTCCCACCTCAGCTTTTATTTGGCAACATAGCTGCATTTTAATAAAACACCAGATATAATATAGAAGTGATGTCTTAGTTTTAATTTAATTTTAGAATTATAAATCTGTCTTTTAGTATCTACAGATAAAAGGCCCTGGATTTATAATAGCAGTTTTTAATGTTTTTTATACAAACAGAATGTTTTTTATATTCTATAAGAATTATGTTTTTATTTAATCCAGATTTTTAGCAGATCATCTGCACATCACAGTGACCTGGACAGTTTATTCTAACGTCATTCAGAAGATGGGACAGATGGAGAGGAGCTTCACCGAGTCCAGGTGTACATTCTTCTCAGCAGGGTGTGTATGTGGGGTGTGTGTGTGTGTGTTTTGGGGGCAAGTGTATCACAGATGTGTTTTTCTCTCACCTTCTATAATCTCTGTGTGTCTGTGTCATTGACTGACCAACCAAATCAGTAATTACTCGCCCTCCAGACTGTTGCTCAATAGACCTGCCCAAGCACCAAATAAAGGCTGTACACCTGCATGCCCACACATACATACAGGTGGAAAACGACGGGTGGACACATGAAAACACCTGAGAGACAGATCGGCAGCTTTCCTGCCAGCAGCTCAGGACTATCTGTGGCTGCTGCAGAAAGGAAGGGCTTGTGAATGTTAAGTGCCTCCCTTAGGGAGGAAAATAAGACCAGCTGATAAGTTAGTCAGCTGCAAAGCCAACAAGTCCACATGAAGGCAGAGAGGACGGCGGTGACACAACACACACCACCTCTTCACCTCAACTCACACACTATCTCTGCTCTCACACCTTCACACACACAGGCAGACAAATCATACAAATGCAGTACATAAAGAAATATGCACTCTGAGAGCACACAGCGTTGCAACAAGAAAGCACCCAAAAAAGACAAAAGCACACAAAAAAGCAGGTTTCCTGACACAAAACCAAGAACATACAACAAGTTAAATCCTCAGGTGTGAGTCCATGTGACCAGAAACAACAGAAGAGTTTAACCTGGATGCATGTGCAGCTCCTGTTCGGACACACGTGTCTGCCCTGCTGCCTCATCAACATCCCCCCATGCTGCCTAGCACACCTCCTTTCTTGCTAATTACAATTGATTTATGATGGAGCAGGTAGCTTATCAGGTGCCCGGTGAAATTACAATGGCTGTCTGAAGGCTGGAAGGAGCACGAGGGTTTGTCTGCGGTCAATGTCGAATGGTAAAATCAATTAGCATTGATTGGCAAAAGGTTCATTTTCTCCACAGAAGATGCAGTCGAAGGGGATTAAACTTTCCTCTGACAACTTTGATACGACACAATGGCAGCTTTTCTGTCTGCCGTGTGGTTAAACAGGCTTTTAATAATAAAACTGATGTTTTTCATCACACAAACCCTCTCTCAGTGCAGCTGTGGCTGGATTTCAAAATCAGGCCTTGGCTCGTTGGGTCTGGCTGCGAAACAGATAGCATTGATCAAGTATCAGAGACTGAAATCCCTTGCATCTTAATCCTCGTCAAGAAGGACATGCAGAATTCAAATAGTCCTGCTTCAGGCCTTAAACAAAGGTAGATCAACAGCTGGACAAAACGTAGAGCAGGAGCCACAACAAAACAAATGAAGATAGATGAATCACCCAAAAAAGTGACATCTTCATATCTTGTCTTTTCTGATTTATTATAATTCCAGCAGTAACATCTGGAGCATCCGTTGGGTTCCTAAACCAAAACAGAAGTTATTTCAGTGTGCGTCTTACCCTCGATGGCCAGCATGGCTCTCAGCTCTCTGTTCAGCAGCTCGAATCGTCTCTCCAGATCGTGCTCCTTCTCCCTGTGGCAAGTTGGAGGCAAAACACACACACAAAGTTCGTCAATATGTTAATGACTAAATCATTAAGTACTTAAAGAAACCTGCAATAAACATCGATTCAGCCACTCGCCAGAACCTTCTCCTGCTTCACATTAATCTACTTGCACATAACTGATACTCATAGTGCGCTCACTCAGCCTTGGGTGAACGTGTGTGGAAGAGGCAAAACAAGGAATTAAAGGAAACGAGGTGAAAATGCATGAAATTAGAATAAAGGACATGTGTCTATGTGGTCTTATATATAAATGTTGTGTGTGTGTGTGCGTGCAGCACAAATTGAATTCATTCCTCTTTCAGCCATATTAAAAAAATAAGCTAATTCAGTCTCTAATAGAATTTGTCCTTCACAGGCACCTTTTCTCCTTGCCTCCATAAAGAGAGAACAGAAAAGGCTAATAATCAGCCTTTCTGTCAATTGGCCACTTTAAAAGCCTTCCTTTTCCCGTGATTATGATACTTCATTCTCCCTGTGACTTGCACTCTTTGAAATCCTGCAAATAAAGAAAAATGCAGCGTGTGTCTCCACCTGTCGCAGCTGACTGCATACAAAAAGACTAGAGACAGAGTAGAGATTGACACATTTCTATTGATTTCATATTCCTTCTGCATGCAAATCAATGAGCGGACAGGCAGGGTGTGTGTGTGTGTGTGTGTGAACGGAGTGAGATGTACACGCCTGGCCTCATGCAGCTTTCATCTAGTGCTTCAATATTGAAAAGATGCTTAAATGCAGAAAAAAGCTTAGAATAATGTTAGATTATTTTAGAGATTTTCACAAGTATCTGCTGCTTTACTTTGTTAAATAAAATGAACAGATCATGGATGAGGACATATTCATTATTAGAAGGTAAAATGATACGTACAGCAGAGAGAGCTGGTCCTGTCTCCTGATGAGGGCATTCTTCTTGTTGACCAGCATGAACCACTCCTGCATCATGGCCTCCTCCTCCTCCTTGTTGTTTCCTGAAAAATACAAACAAACAACATCTAAACAATTTGGCTCGTTGCGGAGAAATTTACCAATACCTAAAAAGCGGAGGACACCTCAAGGACCGAATCTTTGTGATCGCAGAGTCAGCACAGTCCATTTGAGTTTTCTGTGAGTGAACACAACCCTCTCGTCTATGTTCCTCGTGTAAACATTCACCCACACTTCATACCATGTCTTCACAACGTCAATACAGCTTCAACAGGGATTAACGCAGCGATTACCATCAAGCGCCTCTGTGGAGTGAAGCTTCTCACTAGCTATGTTTACATGCGCAAAATTCTTTTACCAGATTGAAATATGTTCAAATTAAACAATTCAAATGTATAGTTTACATGGGCACAATCTGTTCATGACGAGCGTTTACATGCAGCGGACTTTGTTCTGAACAGAAGTACTGACATGCGCAGAGTGGTAAACTCTCCTTAAAAAAACACAGAAGAAGTAGTTCTACTTCTGGTTTACATCTGGGATGAACGTAAACAAACCTGAGCACCCAAAATGGACCTGCGACGGGTTTTAATGACGGTGGAGACATTACTGCACTCCCTGACTGAGCTACAGGTGATACAGATAATTTTGAGCTCTTTCAAATTTCTAGTAGAAATACTGTCGCTCACCGACCTTCCTTGACATGCTAATATTATTAGCATTACCCTGGCGGAAATGACATAGGTCGCACATGCGCAGTCAGGTCAGTTTTTCACGATCGGAAAATCAAAAAAATGAACATATCAAGCATTTACATGCACACTGTTCAGGTTATGAATTGGGGTAAACCACCTGTTTCGTTCTGATCAGAAATTCTTTCGGATCACACTGAATAAACAAAAATAACCCGAACAGGGTGTTTACATGACACGTTTTTATTCCGAACGGCCGTTTGATCCAATTACTTATGTCCATGTAAATATAGCTACTGTAGGGCAAAACATATTCCCACCAATCACTAAGCAGGCCTTCAAAAGTGAATAAAAACCCTCTCTACCACTTGGTGTAACACTTGCACAGCATACAGTGAGCTAGCAGAATCAGATGCATGGCTAATGTAAGCTTCGTCCACGCCTGGGGATAAAGCTCCATGTGCTAACTTGCTTACAGGCTACAATAGGATGTGAACAGCTGATACAGACGGAGCACATCAAATGGAAAGCCTAAAAATGTTAAAACTCAAAGTAGATGGCCCAAAAGACGTAACAGGATTATCAGAAACAGGCTAAAGAAAACTAAATCTAGGTTATTTAAGTTTACAGATGTCACAGGTTTTCTTATAGTAAAATTATTTGTTTTTGTTTAAACTCATCTGTTGCAGAACAGTAAATATAATTTAATTATTGAAAACATGATTCTAATATTTTGCATAGGAATAGGTTTTGCTGTGGTCAGATGTCGGTGTCACTGTCAATTGAACCCAGTTTCTGCAGCAACATAGGCATTAATCTGATTCTTGATTCCCCTGTGAGGTGGGAATGGATGAACAGGAAACATAAGTTGAAGGACTGTTTAGATCACCTCTTGCGGTTTTCTTTTCTTTGGAGATAGCTGGAAAATACAAAAGGCAAAACACATTTAACTACAGGAACTCATTTTTTAACCTATTTTTTAACCACCTAGGACTTTACATTTAGCAAAAAAAAACACATTTACCTTAAAGAAAACAATCTCAGGAGATGTAAACATTGATTACCTGTTTAGGAGAAAGACAAGCCACTTTTCCCTTTTAATTATATTTATAAAATATTCCAACTAATTTTGATATTCAGGTTAAGCAATCCTAGCAGCAGATGAGAACTTGCACATAATTTATTTAGCTCTTTTAAAGCCAGGACGTTTTTTTTTTTCCCCCAAACTCCCCCTCAAACACATCGCACTAATAAACATTGCAATCATAAACACAGGATATCAGGTCGCAGCGTTGCTCATGACAAAAGGCAGACGTGTGGATTTGTGCACGGTCACCGGCGAGTGCGTGGACATTTGTGATACTTTGAGCCAGCAGATGTATGTAATTTCATTTAGGAGGGAGGTGGGAGTGAGAGGAAAGAAAAATGAGAGAATGAAAAGAAGCTTCAGGATTTAAGCTGAATCGGAGTCTCGTGGATTTCTGTAGTCAACTTTGAAATGGACGACACTCGGAGGGGGGGATAAAGCCTGTGCTGACAGGTCATTGTGCTGCCTCCAAGTCAAATAAAACAAGCAAATAATAATGGCAAATATTAAGCTCCTGTGACATTGTGGTGAGGCGAGTTGGAAGTCGAAGGGGGATTATAAAGCTATATTCCCCGCCGTTAGCCAGACAGCCGCTACATTTCATGAAAGGAGGACGGGAAGGAGATGAGAAAAAGGCAGGAAGGTCAGAGGAAAGGTGGGGAATAAGGAGATGAGTGGGGAGAGAAGGAGATAAAAAAGGTTAAAAGGAAGAGGAGTGAATGGACGAGAAAGAAGAGATGGAGCTGCTCGACGTCCATCAGGGTTGAAATGCTGACCCAGAGATACTACCTGACTCTTGAAGAGACTGTCGTGTTTGACAGAGAAGAAAAGACATAGAAGTATATTGCAGGACTATTCAACTGGCAGCTGGATGACTGCAATCTAGCCCACTTAATTTAAAAAATAAAAAATTATAATAAAAATATTTTTTTGAGGGGGTGTTCTGGGTTTGGGTTTTTGGTTCTGTTTATTGCATTTATGGTTCAATGCAATAAAATAAACAAATTTAACATATTTAATAGTTTCTGCTCAACATTCCAAATATTTTGCAAACCAAAAAGAGAAAGACTTAATTTAGGCATCAGAAAGCGTTTTTTTGATTTAATCAGTTTATTAATTGAACTGTACTGAGCAGCTAAACAGCTCAATATCATATAAAACTGGTTAAAAATCAATGTTTTCAGTTTAGCAGTAAACCTCAAGAATGAAAGGAACACTGTTGGGTTCCAGCTGAAACTATTTTCCAATTAAAATGTTTTTATGTTCTTGCTGAAACTGTAATGAGAACTTATATGTTATGAGCATCAACACAGAAAACAACAAAATCCTGCTGGTTGTTGTTTTGCATAAAGACAAATGGTGTCAGTATCCCTGGCAAACAGCACTGACACTGTGTCTGTGAATCCAGCCTTGGCTCTGAGACGCTGTGGATCCATGCTGGCTCTCAGGGGGCCATCTTGGATCAAAGCATCTGCCAGTTTGGCAGGTTGCATTCTGGGTCTTGCTGCTCGCCTTATACACCACTTCTCGGTGCTCATTGCGTAGTGGGAACAGGCCAAATTCTGCTGAGGCTGAAGTATTGAAATTGGCACCGATGCAATGTTTGATCAGAACATCAAAGGCTGAGAGCAACACGCCTGATGGAGATATGTGGGGTTTCCTCACCTGAAGGGAACTTTATCGTCTTTAATATCACGTTCAGTTTCTGCTATCAACGTGTTGGGGAGAAACAGATGATACAATCAACTGAGACACACACACAGAACAGAGATACAACTGATAGACATATTCCAACAACCCCCCTATCTGTTTGATTCCCTCTTCTCTTGTTTCATTCAGTCTCACAAACACAACCATGATAAACTGATACACACTTCAACGTGTAGATGGAGATCCTTAGGGCACAAAGAAAAGGCTAGTTAGTACAAATCACCATGCATTTCTTTGAATCTGTACGAGAGATAGTAAGAAAACGAAATAAAGAAAAAAAGGGTGAAACGACAGAGGTAGCTTCTGTCACCAAATAAGATTAAGATAGCCATCTTGGACACTGCTCCTTTCAGAGTGGATGGGAATAATGAAACTCACCCTGAGGTGGTCAAACTGCTTTTGTGCTTTGACGGGGGGTCTCACATCAGAGAATCACCTATATGCAATTTAATTATGCCTTATCAGACTTTAAAGGTGTACAACCAAAAGCTGAACAGCTTAGGTGAGGTTGCAATTACTGATGATTTAGCTTATACATTCCATGCTTTATTTGTTTATTACAGAATTTTATCTATGAAACCTTTGAAAAAATACTAAATAGACTGATTCTGATAAGTCACATTTCAACTTAAGGTTTTGAAACTATTAGACAAAGGTTGCATTGATGTTGCTGTGCTGAAAAGAAATGTGTGCTTTAAAATTACCAAATTGATCAGCCAATAAAAAACAATTCAGTCATTTGTTGTAATTGTGAAGTTACAGACTTTTAGGAAGCACATCTGTTTATTCATGATGAATTACAGAAACTGGATGAATCAGAAATGCTGCATCAGTTTTACGCCTTGAACATCTCCCCTCTTCCTCAAAGGAGGGAACTTGGATAACAGAAGAAATGAAAGGAAAAGAAAGAGAAACACATTAAAAGCTGTGATCACAGCACGTTCATCTCATTTCTTATCCCACCATTTTGTCATTTAATCCAATAGCTGCTAATCCAATTTGTCTATCAGACATGTATAAAGGCGGGGAGGAGGAGAACGACGAGGGGGAGGGAAAGGGAGGAGATAAAGCTGAACTTGTCTCGTGTGTTCGAGTCGCTTTCCTAGTTGTAGTTTATTTAAGGCCCGAGGCGCGCTTGTGTCTGTCCCACCGTTTTCTCCACCCAAGCATCGAATATCAGCGGGAGATCTGGGGAAGATGAAAGCCAAAGGCTCATAAAAGGAAATGAGAAAAGAAGGAATAAAAAGAAACAGGATGAACATTGTTTCTTGTGATTAGGTAAGAGCTCGTTAAAAGGCTGTCACTGCAGCAATGTGAATATGCATGATGGGCTGGCCTAATCAGAGGGGGTCTGTAGTGAGGACTGGATTACGTGTAAGCAGCCGGCTGAAGTCTTGATTTAATTAACGTGAGCTGAGGAGTGTCATGTTTAGAATAAAGGATGCAGGGAAGGCTGGTGAGCTCACAGATTCAGATTTGGTTGTAAGACATTAAATCAGATTCAGCAGTTTAACTCGGTCTCTTTCTTGTCATCTTTCTTCAGTTTGTACTTAGA